ATTCTGTGGACAAGTGACCGATTTCAGCCGCGGCTTCAGCGTCTATTTTATAGTGTAGGGGGCGGGCGCTTCGGATTCTAGAGAGCATTTGATTGGACAGAAAGTTTGATGAGAAGCTGAAGTACGATGTGACGTCAAAAAAATCGTTGAGACGTTTTGGCGGAAGTGACGAACTAAAAGCTTTGAATGCTTATATCTTCTAAATGCAAATTTTGTCACTGTTTTGGAGCACACTGCCTTACAGATAACCTTAAGACTAACATATTGATACTAACACTCAAAAAACTTTCATTTTGATTTCATGGGGACTTTAAACTGTATTAAAATAGTAAACAGTTATTTTTAATTGTAGTAATATTTCACAGTATTACTGTTTTTACTGTATTTTTGATCAAATAAATGCAGCCATGGTGAGGATATTCAAGAGACTTCATGCAGATAACTGAATGACTGAATGAATACAGATAGTGAAGGGTGGAGGGTTTTAATTTGACAGAGCTAAATGAGGATGACCCAAAGAATGAGTCAGACGCTGAAGGTCAGAGGTCAATTACTAAAGCGTGCTCCACATAAGCTTCCCAGGTGCACCTGTTTGCCCCACAGGTATCAGGAGTTAAACTGATGTCAGTGTGCAGTTGATTTATGGGGAGATTTGTGTAGTGAGATAACTTCTTCCATGCTGTTAGCTGAACTTGAAGCTTAAGACATTCAGGCATGTGTGTTAAAGTCTTAGAGGAGATCTAGAGGGCAGTTGAGGGTTAATAGACTGTGGATAGGGTTGGTTAGTATGGTTGGCTGTAGCTCATTTGAAGTGAGGCTCTGGAACACTTGCTCTGACTGTGGCTGGGTGTTAATGAAGGGTTAAACTGCCGCTCAAGCTGAACCATCCAAACAGATTCAGGGAAACTAAAATGCACACTTGAGTGCAAATGTGCGTCCTTCCATATGTGTGCACTCATTAGTACACAAATGAGTGAGTGAAAAGTCTGTGTTTTGCCTATGTTTATGTGCAAGACTGGATGGAACATTGTAGAAACTGATGAGAGTGAACATATCAGAAGTTTTATTTGTGATTAATTTTTAAGACTTCTTATGGATGTTACACTCCATTAAAGGGATAGTTCACCCAAAAAAAAAAGTTTTATTTTTTTGCGCACAAAAAGTATTCTCGTAGCTTCATAAAATTCAGGTTGAACCACTGACGTCACATGGACTACTTTAACGATGTCCTGTGTGTTCAGAAGATGAACGAAGGTCTTACAGGTTTAGAACGACATGAGGATGAGTAATTAATGACAGTAGCTGTCTCATTTAGAAGGCTGCACCCTCCGGAGGTCGCTGCGACCTCCAGAGGGCGCAGCCTTCTAAATGAGACACAGCTAGTATTTTCATTTTTGGGTGAACTATCCCTTTAAGGCCAGTTCACACCAAAACGAATGTTTGGTACGAAAATTCAGTGCGATAAACATTTTAATTTGAGGGAACAGCATCCATTCAGTCTTTTCAGACCCATACAAATATTCACATGCAGTCAATGCAACAAATTATTACTCTCTTTCCCATCGCACTGCAAAGAAAATGGGTTAACCAATTAGAATTGCGCTTTTGGTCACATGCCACTGCTCTTACATGGAACTATTTTACGATTTGGTGATTTAGTATGAATTTTTATCATTTGATTCATAAGAAAATGTACCATTTTTAGCAAAAATAAGCCGATTGTATGATATGCTTTATTTAATTAATAGTTAATTCTTAGAAATCTATAAATGCTTTTTTGTTACTGTTTGATGGTCATTATTAATGATTATCATTTGATTGTATGAATATGGCATATGTAATGCGTGTAGCAGTTGTTTACTGTCTGCTGTGTAGATTTATGATGATACATGTGTGAATGCAGCCACCCATGAGCAGACCCACCGAGTCTCAGTTAATTCTGTTAGCTTTTCAGATGATGGAGGAAAATTTAGCGAGTGTGAAGAACTTAACCCGTTCAGACTCTCAGGTTTTAAAGACTCTCTCGCTTTCTCTCCCTAATTCATTCTTTTCCTGGAAGCAGCAAGGTCAGTGAGAAGTTTAGACACTTGAATAAAAGCTCTTGTGTGGCTCATTTGAGGCCCATAGACATGAAGTACTTTCGTATTTGCATATAGTGGCCCCTCAAGATTGAGACCGAAAGAAGACAAGTGGGAATTTCTATATAAAATTCATTATAAAATTCTGTTCTGAAACATTAACAAAATAAATATACATAACATATGTATATGTATACATATTCTTCCCATAAATATAACAAAAGAATGAGTTATATTTGAAATTGCTCAAATATCTCAAAAGCATACAGCAAGTTTTAGGTTTTAAGGTATAAACTTGTGTGATTGTGTTTGGTTGTTAACCTGTGATTTGTCTTTTATGTCTGTGTCTTTTAGGCTTCAGTGTGACTGCCGGCACAACACTTGCGGGCCGTCATGCGATCGCTGTTGCCCCGGCTTCAACCAGTTTCCATGGAAACCAGCCACGACTTACAGTGCCAATGAATGTGAACGTGAGTTTTCCTCTCTCTGCGTCCAGTGAGCCAACAAAACAAAGATTTAGTACCTGCCGGGCCCCTCCTTGACACATTGTTCTCAAAACATGATTTCTCTCTTGTGGGAGATTTTTTTCTGCCTTCCTTCTTTTCTTGATGGCAGAACAGCATTTTCTTTATTCTGTCTAACAGTGCTCTTTTTTATGTATTTATAGACGTGACATTTAATCATTAAGTATGAGTGTAACTTTTTCAGAAAGTTCAGAATATCTTCACTCAAACTCAGAAACTTGAATGATCTCTGTCTGGAACTGTTATCTCTTTCTCTGTCTTTACACTCTACCTACAGAAAAGTTTCTCTAAGTTTCTCTACCTACATTCTCCCATTTATATTGTTTAAACTTGAGTCATTCTAACCAATGTAAAAGACTATGTGACTATCATCATACTCATAGTCCATACTTTTGTGGTGTTATATATTTTTCCTGAAGTTTTAGTGAACTGTACAGTGGCATTATAACTCTATTGGCAAGTGGATAAAGAAATACCTTTAGCAAAAGGACAGAGTAAAACAACTGACAATTGCTTTTTTGACAATTTGACAATTTTTTTTTATATAATTGTATTGTCTTATTTAAAACATTAATTAAAATGTCTATTTTATGTCAATTAAAAAACATAAATGTATTAATTTATAACATTTTTAAAAACTATTCAGTCTTAATTTGTCTAATTAAAAAAGGGATTCATTTTACATTTTTCATTTAAAATGTATTTAATTATGTATTTATTTTTATTGTGTTATTTAACTACATTTAAAACATTTAAAATTGAAAATTTAGGTTGAATTTGTCTATTTAAAAAGTTTTAAAAAGTGTTTTATATATATATATATATATATATACACATACATATACATATATATATATATATATATATACTAGTGCTGTCAGTCAAACGATTAATCGCATCCAAAATAAAAGTTTTTGTTTACATAATAAATGTATGTGTATATTTAATATGTATATATAAATACACACGCATGTAGGTATATATTTCAGAAAAAATGTTGTTTATATATTAAATATATTTATTTATAATATAAATTATATTAATATAAATATAGACATGTAAATGCATGTAAATATTTTCAAAATACATACTGTATGTGTGTGTATTTATATAAGCATAATAAATATACACAGTACACGCACATATATTATGCCACCAAAAACTTTTATTTTGGATGTGATTAATCGTGATTAATCATTTGACAGCACTAATATATACACACACATACACACACATATATATATATAATTTAGTTAATTTTTAAAATTAATTTAATTTATTAAATTGATAATTTATTGTATTTATTATATTTTTTAAGGAGCACTCCTAGTCCTCTAAGTAAAAGTGGCTACCTGATACCTTTAGAAATGTAAATACATATTAGCCTTTCAGACCTCGGATTGGTTTTGTTGTGCGAAGATGTTTTGATTTATATTCTCGATTGTATGAGGATGTTTATAGTTTCAGTTTAGGATCAGCGTAGTCTCTGCTTTAGTAAGACATCAGAGTCAGTGTGAATAAGAGAGGCTGGCAGTCTATGTGAACCACTCCAGCCCACCCCACAATGCTTTTAAGAGACTCACTCTCTGGGTGTTTGTCTCTGTATTGGGAGCCATTGTTGGATATCCGCGGTTTTTTTAGCTAATCTAATCTCTGAATTCCCAAATATATAACCACTCCTTTGTGTGGAGAGAGACCTCAGTGAGGTTTATGGCACATCTGTGAGCAGAGCTGGCTTGAGTGAAGCCAGAGAGACTGTCTCATCTGACAGAACTGTTTCATCTCACGTCGGGTCACCGTGTCCTCACCCTGCTGTCAGTGGACTGGACCCTAACAAAACACAGTCATTCCACACCGCATGTCCTGTCAAAGACTCCACTGTGTGACAGGAAAAACACATGATCAGAGCCTGCTGGTATTCATGCTTTAATAGTGAATTTGTCCTAATAGTTTTTGCTAATCACAGCTAATTCAAGTGTATGGAAAGTCTATGGAAATTCCTGATGGACTTTAAAATAAATAATCATAGCACAAAAATTATAGATAGATAGATAGACAGATTCTTAATAATTCTTAATTACACCCATAAATACTGAAACTACTGGGCTAAAAGCAGAAATTAAATTAGCTTTATTTTAGAATGATTACCAATTATTTAAAATAAATATTTAAATAAATAAATTAGTGCTGTCAAAAGATTAATCGTGATTAATCGCATCCAAAATAAACGTTTTTGTTTATGTAATATATGTGTGTGTATTGTGTATATTTATTATGTATATATAAATACACACACATACAGGATATATTTAGAAAATATTTACATGTATATATTTATATTTGTATAATTTATATTATATATAAATATATTTAATATAGAAATATAAAATTTTTCTTAAATATATACATGCATGTGTGTGTATTTATATATACATAATAAATGTACAAAGTACACACACAATTATTATGTAAACAAAAACTTTTATTTTTGAATACAATTAATTGTGATTAATCGTTTGACAGCACTAATTTAAATGCATATGTATTTACATATAAATACATAAAATAAATATACATGTATGTAAATAACTTATTGAATAATATGTTGCATTATATACAAAAAAAGTATAATTAATAAATATTACATTTATATATTTTAAATAAATAAATATTATACTCCCAAAAATGCCATAAAATACCATAAAAGCACCATTAAAAAGAATCATAAAGGTCATTATTCATTATTTGCTGTTTTTAAAGTCAGATTCACACTTCCACACATTCAAACAAACTACAAAAAGATGCAAAGCACCAGATTAGACAATTAATAATCCAAATTTCAAACCGAAATGGAATTTATAAGAGTTTTTAAATTAGGCTATAACTACAGTAGGCCTATATAAAAATAAATACATATATAAATCTTACATAATATAGCAAGTTATATATAACAAGTATGTTAATGTACGTTTTGATGCTTTTGGTCCTTTTTTGGACTTTTGGCCATGCCTTGGTCACCATTCACTTTCATTGTATAAAACAAAGCAGCATGAACATTTTGCAAAACATCTGCTTTTGTGTTCCACTGAAGAAAATCAGTCATACAGGTTTGAAACGACATGAATGTGGATAAACGATGACAGACAGACTGATAATTTTTAGGCGCACTGTCCCTTTAACACCCAGCCTCTGATGGTTTATTCGTGTTTGCTCAATGTTTTCCTCACGCTGGCCGAGATCCAGAACTTTCTCTGCCGTTTCTCTGGCTGAGGCTCTTAAGCAGATTATATCGCTCTCCTGGCACAGACTCCGTGTAACAGACTTAATTATAGGTGTGTGTCATTGTGTTAGACGAGTCTTCATCAAACACTCTTGTCAGAAGCAATGAAAAACACTGTGCATCAATCTCACGGCAGCATTAGAGCGAGTACACAGATGGAGTCTGAACCGTGCTGGATTTACACATCAAGACTGAGATGGGGTTGAGTTTATATGGGTAAAAAGAGCCTAATATTGATGTTAAACGTGCCAGTGTTATATAATGAATTCAACAGCTCCCTCTAGTGAAGATGTAAGGTGGATAATTTCACCCCAAAATAAATGTATGTGTATATTTAATATGTATATATAAATACACACGCATGTAGGTATATATTTCAGAAAAAATGTTGTTTATATATTAAATATATTTATTTATAATATAAATTATATTAATATAAATATAGACATGTAAATGCATGTAAATATTTTCAAAATACATACTGTATGTGTGTGTATTTATATAAGCATAATAAATATACACAGTACACGCACATATATTATGCCACCAAAAACTTTTATTTTGGATGTGATTAATCGTGATTAATCATTTGACAGCACTAATATATACACACACATACACACACATATATATATATAATTTAGTTAATTTTTAAAATTAATTTAATTTATTAAATTGATAATTTATTGTATTTATTATATTTTTTAAGGAGCACTCCTAGTCCTCTAAGTAAAAGTGGCTACCTGATACCTTTAGAAATGTAAATACATATTAGCCTTTCAGACCTCGGATTGGTTTTGTTGTGCGAAGATGTTTTGATTTATATTCTCGATTGTATGAGGATGTTTATAGTTTCAGTTTAGGATCAGCGTAGTCTCTGCTTTAGTAAGACATCAGAGTCAGTGTGAATAAGAGAGGCTGGCAGCCTGTGTGAACAGCTCCAGCCTGCTGTGAGCTCATACAGACACTAATCCAGTCTGGCTTCTCTCACACACTGTAAAAATAGTCCCACAATGCTTTTAAGAGGATCTCAGACTCACTCTCTGGGTGTCTATCTGTGTATTGGGAGCCATTTCAGTCTGGGAAACATTTCCTCTGAGTATATTGTTGGATATCCGCTGTTTCTATCTAATCTCTGAGTTCCCAAATATAAAACCACTCCTTTGTGTGGAGAGAGACCTCAGTGAGGTTTATGGCACATCTGTGAGCAGAGCTGGCTTGAGTGAAGCCAGAGAGACTGTCTCATCTGACAGAACTGTTTCATCTCACGTCGGGTCACCGTGTCCTCACCCTGCTGTCAGTGGACTGGACCCTAACAAAACACAGTCATTCCACACCGCATGTCCTGTCAAAGACTCCACTGTGTGACAGGAAAAACACATGATCAGAGCCTGCTGGTATTCATGCTTTAATAGTGAATTTGTCCTAATAGTTTTTGCTAATCACAGCTAATTCAAGTGTATGGAAAGTCTATGGAAATTCCTGATGGACTTTAAAATAAATAATCATAGCACAAAAATTATAGATAGATAGATAGACAGATTCTTAATAATTCTTAATTACACCCATAAATACTGAAACTACTGGGCTAAAAGCAGAAATTAAATTAGCTTTATTTTAGAATGATTACCAATTATTTAAAATAAATATTTAAATAAATAAATTAGTGCTGTCAAAAGATTAATCGTGATTAATCGCATCCAAAATAAACGTTTTTGTTTATGTAATATATGTGTGTGTATTGTGTATATTTATTATGTATATATAAATACACACACATACAGGATATATTTAGAAAGAATTTACATGTATATATTTATATTTGTATAATTTATATTATATATAAATATATTTACAACATACACACACATATATTATTGCTGCAATGACACACACAAGAATTTCGCAAAGAACGACAAACTGAACCAGACTTATATAGGGTGAGCAGACAGGGTAAATGAGACACAGGTGCAAACAGTGAGTGCTGATAAGTCCGGGCAAAGGATTGTGGGAAATGAAGTCTGATGGAGTGGTAGAAGTCTGGGATGGAGTGCCCTCTAGCGAAGCTCACAGGCACTCCAGCTAGAGATCGTGACAAAAATACTTTGTAATCACATTTTATTGTCAAATTTTGATCTCAATATGGTCTGTAGTCACACATTGCCCGTTCAGGTTTCTCTGCGATTGTATAATCACACATCATACAAACACACACATCTATACAAATCGGCAATTTTTGTTAGTATTGTGAAATCATAACTAGATTTTGTTTATAATCTGCTACATCTAATACCAAAATGACTAATTCTATTGTAGTACTTATAACTGTAGTAACTAATATTTTGGTCACCATGGTAAATTTTTGTAAGTGTACACTCAATTATTATGTTATTTATAAATGTTTTAACTTGTATTTTCAGCTGCAATCTAAAGATTCCCGCACAGTTTTCTCTTGTTTTCCCCATGCTAACTTCACTCCTAGCTAATTACTGTTCTCTTTTTTCTTTCTTTTGCCCTTCTCTGCTGTCATTCATTCCCCTCGGGACAGTCTGAACTCTTCAGGTGGACACTGATGTGTTTTGTGCATGTCCTGCCCTGTTTATATCTGTCCTGCTTGTATATTTATTCTATCTGCATTGACAGATGAGTTAATTAATCTCAGCGTATTGTGTGTGTGTTTGCAGCATGTAACTGCCACAGACACTCATCAGAGTGCTACTATGATCCAGAGATCGATCAGAGGAGAGCCAGTGTCAACATGCAGGGAGAATACAGCGGCGGAGGAATGTGCGTCGAATGCCAGGTGGGCTCAGGTGTACAAACACACTAATAACACGAAAGTGGTGCGGATGCATTGGCTGTGGCTCAAGACCTACATAAACAGCATTTATGGGCAACATAAGTGCATACAACATTTTTGGTTGTCAGTTGCACACTCACTAGGTTTGGAAACAGCTGTTGATGTTTTAGCAAATACATTCTATGATTTTGGTGATTTTTATTCTTTCACAGCATCACACCACAGGCATCAACTGTGAGCGCTGCATTCCTGGGTATTACAGATCACCTGATCATTCTCTTGAGTCCCCATTCGCCTGTTCAAGTGAGTCTCCCGTGATCTATTTAGCATTCATTTATTTTTATTTTAGTCATTTTATTGCTTCAATTTAAAATTTTGTCTCTTAGTTGCCGAAACAACATTTCTAATGATTTTTTACATTTTTCACCTATTTCAATTAATGGAAATTATTTTTAATCGTTTTCGTTAAAAGCAGCACTGGTCATGCATACATTTAAATAAAAATTGAACTGTATACATGCATTTAAAGACAGGGTAGTTGATTTGGTTTAAAAACATTTTTTGTTATGCTGGTTGAAAGTCTCTTCACATTCTGAAAGCAATCACTAAGTGGTCTAAATGTATTTATATCGTCTGTGGAAGGCGTAGGACCATAAAATGTTCATCCAATCATATTCCTCGGCCCGAGGATTACAATAGGCTTTTCCTACCTGCCTGTCAACATATGTATTTGATTGCACAGTCCATTGCACTATTGCAGACCGAGCGAAAATTAAAATGCTTTATTATTGTAATATTATGCACTTTTTACTGTAATTTTTCCTCACTGATGAATGAGATATGAGATAATCTGACAACGCTGCGTTCAGTCCTCCACCATCACCATCTCTCATCGTGTCGCAGTCACTGGTTAGTCTCTGGTCTGCCGGAGCGCTTTCATGTGTTTTGGAGGAGGCGTGGCTTTGAAGATTGATTTGCAGGGAGGGTGGGATTTTATGCTATTGCTAGCCTCTCTTAAACTGCCTACTACTGTTGTCATGGTACCAAAATTTCTGTATTCGGTACCAATACCAGTGAAAATCCACGGTTCTCGGTACCAATTTCGGTACCAAAGCAAAACACAAAAACATGCTAATTAAAAAGACTATACTTTCATTTAATCCTAACTGTGTACATATTTAAGTTTTAAGGGTTTTTAAAACCTTCTAGAGTTATCAGCCAAGAATAACAACTAAGTTAGCAAAAAAAAAAAAAAAAAGCCCAAAACTGCTTTTCTGACTGATATGACACAAACAATGTTAACCATTTGTACATTCTCTAACACGCATATTTTAGATTCACAATTCATTTAAAAGCCTCTGGTGTGTAAAAATAGTAAATATCATCATGTCCTCCTGTTTTTTTGTTTTTTTTTACCCTAATAAAAGTTATAGGAGCATTAAAAAGTTAATAAAGAAACTTCATTCTAATGCTCATTATATTAGCGTTAGCCGAGCTTATGCTAACGATTAACTACTCTAATAACAGCGATGTTCATTTCAATCCGACATTCAAATTAAAATATTGAATAATATTCATAACAGAAGCGGTGTTTCCCACAGACTTGCACTCTATTTGTGGCAGCATATATATGCAAATTCATTCTCTGCCAGCAGGAGGCGCTGTTGGAGCGGGAGAGATTGAGGTTTCCCCAGTAACGGCTGTAATCAAATAAGCACTGAGCTCACAAACGCTGCTTTATCAGGCATAACAGGCAAGATGAAATGAGAATGACATCCATAATTTTCTGAAGACAGTCGGTTTCCGTCAGAAATACAGTGATATATAAACACCCGCATCGGGTTTCGACTTTGACACGTGCAGTGCTCATGTTTATTCAACGAAGTCAAACAGCACAAATAAATCAATGTATGGGAAACACAAATATTAAAAATTTTAATGAAACTTACCTGCTTGAACTCTTTCATTTGATCCGAGTGTCTGTCTTTAAAGTATTTTGTTAGTTTGATGTGTTTCCTCATTTTGAGGTCGCCATGT